CCAATCAGCAATCGTAGCCAGACCACATGACACTCAAAATGGCGACGTCCAGTGAATCCACCAACACAAAATTTTGGACTGTGGAGAAGGAGCAGATTTTAGTAGATATGTGGATGCAATCTGCCTGTTTGTTTATGATTTCTTCGCCCGACTATTCAGATAGGAACAAGAAGTACGCTGTGATGCAAGAAATAGCACAAGCCCTGGAAACAACCGGTAAATTTACATCCTTTCGCCCAACCTCGTGCGACTGTAGTGTATTCTGTGCCGACATCGATATAAACTTAAAATCTTTAGACTTCTAATAAAGGGAGATATTTTTCAATAACGCAATTTTACATTTTCTTCTGGACGTCGCCATTTTGAGGTCATGTGATTTTCCGTTGCACTGGCGTATTGTTCGAGCTAAATGTTTTGTTTGGTTTCATTCACAAATCTTTATACCAAATCTGGTACACTTATGTGGATTGTAATTGCCTTCATATTCTTCATTATTGTCGAGATAGTTTAGATATCGGTATATAAGTCCAATCTGGGGATCTGGAATCCAATACATCTCAATTTCTTACTAACTATACCAATTGAAAATATTAAGAATACAATTAGTTTATTGGGAATAACGTCGAACCATGATGTTTTTTGTCCTGGGGTTTTCTAACGTTTAAGTATGTTGCATGTGCAAAAACAGTTTCTTCAACAATCTGGCAAAGCACTTCACATATAAACTCATAAAATATCCAGGAGCCAAGCTGTGTTCATTCACATTATCTAACTTAGGCCTAAAAAAATGCAGGCCTGCAAAATCAAATACCTTTTGGCTAATATTGTGGACTTTCTCTCATTTCCATTCAACCGGATTATTTAAATTAGGCCTACTGTAGATTTCTTCATTAGATTCTAGAGCCGTCAACAACTAAGGAATTCAGACTTTAGCAACTTCTAAAATTTATTCATATTCTTGATCACTTTGATCGGATGCATCATTGCTGCCTTCACTTGAGTCACCTTCTTCTGACGACGACAATTGTGTGTCTCCAATTTACCTATAATTTCTTAACTAATTTTCATCCAAACTGACGCCATGATGGAAAGGGAGACAACTGACTGTCTCTCACATCTGTAAATTCTTTTAGGCTCGTAAACAAAACAAAAGGATGTTCTGGAGTATGAAACAACTCAAGACCAACTGCAGAACACAAGCACAAGATGTTTTTGCAAGATATCTTTGATGCTGTTTTGTGCGAAATATCTCGTCATCCATGTCAAGTAGTTAAAAACGAAAATTTGAAGTAGACTAGGCTATAGAGGGCCAAATGTTGCAAAATTGCATCAAATCAAAATAAACTTTAAATCTCTTAAATGGTAGCTTGAAAAGCTTAAATATGCATTGAATAAACACATTGATTAACACCCACAATTGCATAACTACAGTCAAGTAACCTAATTTCGTGGAAACCTATTATTCGTGGATTTCCGGAAAGGATTAATAATTTACATGAGCGACCTTGCGCGACCTCCGCATTAGTTTGTTTTTATAAACATGGGTTTTTTGTTCAATATCAGCTTGTAGAATAAATTCATAAGTTTCAAGCAAGGTAAAGTGTAATAATGTATACTTTGACAAATACAAATGGCGGATTTCAGTTATTACCAAACGTCACCATTTTTTATTGGCCGAATTTCCTTATAATCCCAAGAGGTAATCGGAATTCCAACTGTCGTCTGCTAGAATACATTCCAACAAATGAAATCACGTGATCAACTAGCCGATTCCGTGTCAGCAGAAAATTTCTATGAAACACAAAGTGGGCCATATTCTCATGTTGTTTCAGTGACTTTTAGCAATAAATCACGCTACGTATCTTATTTTGTCAGTCACTATTTTTTTTTAAATCGTGGTTCTTTGAAGGAATTGTCACTAGTTATAATGAATTGATATTAAAGATAAATACTAAGAGAAGTTAATTATACCACCCAGTACCCATACAACGTGTTTTTCTAGACTTATTTATAGATCAAATATTGTACGTACACGAAAATAGGTGACGCATTCTGTTGGTTGCTCATGAAATATGGGTCAAAGTGAAGGATTCATAAAGAAAATTGAAATAAACCAATTTTAATTATTTTGTAGTTTTTTTAACTTTGGCGAAATTCGGTGTTGAATCCTTATATCCACGAAAATAGGTTACACCACTGTATATCACCTAAATTTTGCTCATTTATACCAATGAGATCGTAGAGGCATTCAATTTCAAATGTATGCCACAGAAAGCTGAAATTTGCAGGGCATTGTATCCAGATTGACTCTCTCTACTCATTCATATTCATGAGGAAATAACCTTAACGTCACACGAAAAGGCCAAATTCTCCACATGATAATTTGACTGTCTTTTCACATAACAAGAACTGCCAACACTTATTCCTACTTTGAACATGGACATGGGAACCAGGTGAACATTCTGTTATAGATTTAAGATAAATAAAAGCGATAATTTACCTGTGGAAAGACATATAAAACAGTATATTCCAAGAAAAGGTATAATTTTTTAAATAAGAGAAGACAGAATGAGCCTCCAAAGCAAAAGAGTAATTATCTCCCTTACAGTCAAATCACAATGCTTCAGATTACAGTTAATCCATCTCTTAACCCACAGAGCCGTATATATTCGTTAACCCGTATTCTGTTATAATTAGCTGCCACCGTTAGTCACTGTTGACATTTGAAAAAAAAAAATCCAAACACTCTGAATTGACCTTAACAAAGACCTTGTGCATATTTTTGGATGAATATTTTTTTAAAGAATGCATGATTTACTTCAGCATACCAATATTCCCAAAATTTCATCTCATTAGCTTTATACTTTATAATGTAAATCTGCATGAAGCAGTCGTAGTAAACAAAAGTCAAAAAGGCATATAACAGCTTAGCCAACTTGTGGCTTCAGTGACTGTTCAAGCCTCTAAGAGTACAAATATAGGTAGTCCTACAAATCGGACTTAGACTGATTAAATGAGGACAATTCAGGTTGAAGGGATAGGTATTATCTCTATTTATGCCTCGACGAAACCCTGGATTTCAGGTTAGCAAGTATCCACTGAGCCACTGCAGGTAGCAGGTAACTACTCTCACACGGTAAAAATGTCTTTGAATTCAAAGGCAGCATTTGAAAAAGAGTAAGCAAGACCTGCATCGCAAGCAGCAATCGCCACCTCTATACAAGTCATCAAAAATCAATGAAACCTTGTAGAAGATTTTTGAAAATCAGATGCAAAGAGTAGTCTTGATCTATAAGCAACGTAAAGAGGTTTTCTAATAAAAAAAATATGTGTATTGGAGGCACTGAAAGCATTGAATTGCACGATGTAATATAAACATATTTGACGATTGTTGACGTCATCAAACAGAATTTTTTTGCGTATTTACAGGCGTCTGACTGAAATTAGCGGTGTCAATACACATAAATTTTTTTTAGAAAACATCTTTTTACTCCCTTTTATGGTGTGATACATCAATAAGAATATACAAAAAGACTTGATCTTTTTTACAAGAGTAACAACTCGGTATTGGACAAACCTCAATGTATATTCATATTTAGAGATAGGTTGACTCGAATCAATTCTTAAAAATCATCAGCATTTTAAAATAGAACCATATGCCATCATTTGTTTCACAGAAAACCAATGAATGCAAGATTCCAGCACTCTAATGAATGAAGTACAGTCTGTTCCCAAATTTTTGAAACTTGAGGTCTTAATAAATAATGGTTTAAGGAATCGCGGCTGCTTTTTCATCTGTAAGATCAACTTATCAAAATTGGTGAAAAAAATCATCCATTCCAATTCAAATTTAAATTTGAATTACATTAAGTATCATTTAGTATCATTTGTTAAGTGGAAAGCTACAGTCTGTCTGAAAAATTTCAAGATCAACTTACCAAAATTCGGCGGAGGAATCGCCCTACTTCTTCATCTGTTCCTCTTCATCTGTTCTTCATCTGTTCCTCTTCATCTGTTGGCGCGCGCCGCTTCATCTGTTCTTCATCTGTGAATAGAAGGATCTGTAGAGTCATACAGGCCATGACCCCAGAACACTCCTATTGTGGCAGTGCTATAGTGGGTAGGTAAATTACCAGACGATTTACCCTTTCTAACCTGAAATGAAATAAAACTAAAATAGTAACGAACAAAAACATACAATATACGATCAGCCGCCAACACAGCAGTAAATTTCACCAGCAATGTTTCAACAAAAAGGGGCCCCGTTTCTTTCTTGAATCTTTTTGAGCCCCTTAATAATTTGAAGAACAAGGACAATTAATGTTTTTGTCCAATATCTATGACAGGATGCCGTTTGATAACTTAAAAGATAGTTTGCCAGGTAAGGTAACATTCGCCCACTAACAGCTGTCAGAAATGATATAACAGGCTTTAGTGACTAAATTATGAATTTTCTCATATTACAAAAATCCTAATAGTTTGAATTCAATGATATATGAGAAATTCCAGCAAATTGTTTTAAAATCAATATCAATAACAAAATAATTACATCAAATTATCGCATCAATATGATCACACCATGTTTCATTAAAATCAATTGAAAACTAGTCTCTTGTGTGGTCACAAACAAATTTACCTAAGTCAAGGGCAATAACTCAAGACCGTTGATCAAATTCGAAATTGATCACACCAAAATTCATTAAAATCAGTTGAAAACTGTAATCTTTTTATTGTGTTCACAAGAAATGTTGACGGACCGACGGACAGGGGCCACGGCAATATACGTCCACATTTCCTGGTGGGCGTATAAATTTCAGCTCTAAAAATCAACATTTGATGGGCATTAAATTATAAACAACAACTGTACAACAAGTGTGAATTGATTAGTAGACAGATAGACAAGGGTGACCAAAGATCAATTTCATATTTCCCTTTACACTAACAGAATTATCACCATGGTGTCACTTTGCAGTCCATATAGCTAACGTTTATTTTTGTGGTATTTCAAAGAAGTGGTATTTCAAAGAAGATGCATGTTATTAAGTTGACTTTATAATTTCATTGGCTAAAGAAAAAAATGTATGAAAGATTTTGAAATTTGATTATCTTCATTCAAGAAACAATTTGATCTGTATAAATAATAAAAAAACACTAAAATGTTTGGTTGATAAATATCAATTGGATTGAGATTTTGAATGTAAATGTTTCAAAATTATATATACAGAAATATAATTTAAGAATGAAATACCATCCAGTATTAATTCAGAGTTGACTAAAACAGTGGACCCATCAAAGAATACCTAGTTGTCAAAACCAGTAGCAGATTTGAAACGGAGAACTTAGGATAAGATAAGAACAACCATTTTAGGAACTTTATGCTTATGCAAGAACAGGCATTAACAGAATTGGTAAAATATGTTAACTTGAAACTTACACGAGGAGCTTCCATGCCACACCATAAGCACTTTATTCCTATATAATGAAGCTCTATCTGTATACACCTGAAATCAAATATTTCATACTATATTTATTTCATCACAAAATATATATTGTATATTTGCGTGTTTGATATGTTTCCGCCCTAAAATAGGTGGAACGACTTAGGGGTGCACGTTATGACTATTGACACATTTGAGGAAATTTTTCACCAGAGGTTTTTTCCAATCAATATTGACAGACTGCATTTACATACTTTGTGTATCTATATCAGTGTGTTACTTCACTCATTCAAAGACCTCTCAACATCATTATCGTATAGTTGCGTGAGCTGGTTTTTGTTAGCATGTATTAGTCTGAAACTTGTTGATTTCTACATAGTTTTGACAGAGCCGAATCAGAAAAATTAGGATGTTTCAACCTCGCCATTTTCAAGATAATTTTTCATCTTAAACCAATCAAGAACTAATCCCCATACTTGACATTTCATTATCTATGTTTTAAGTAGCAAAACAGATAGCAACCCCAGCATTCGAGGGAAAATTCCCCCCACAAGTTTAATTTTTCTGATTATGCCACCCGATCAGGCTCAGCTTGATTAAATAAAGGTGAACGAGCTTCTCTCATCTAACCCTTGATTCTTCAGTATTCCTTCCACCAATAATTCTCAACCAGTCAGATTCGTTGAAAAATTGCGCTAAAGTCATTCTGTATACTAGATTTGAATAGTTATACCATATAGACACGACTTTTACTACTTAAATTGACTGGAAAAGGTGGGATTTATTTCAAAATAATTATAATATTAGACTACTGAATCAAAGGTTAAATAAAAAGTAAACTCGCACACTCGACTATGGTAGAATTCCAACAAGTTTCTGACTGTTATGAAATGAAAATGATTCTTGACTTACCTCCATTTGTTTCAAGAGAGGCTGGGTGGACCTGATATGGTGGTTTAACCGAGTACAACCTAGGTGGCCCTAGCAAGGTAGCCCACAGGCTGCCACAACTAAACTGCACGCGAGCCCAACCCGAAAACGCGAAAATTTTGCTCCTTGTGAACTACCTCCAAAAACCTAGGTTGCACACCATATCTAACCATGTTGTCCGTAGCTGAAGACGAGCTACTATACTTGAAACCCTGAAATATAAGAAAACACCATAGTAATAAAAGGAATAAAAATAAATATAAATTTTTTTTTGTTTTATATGTGTCATAATTGTGCCCATTGTTGTGCGTACATAAATGTACCTGGGTCTGCCTGAGGCGGATATAATTCTTTAGTTTTGATTTTCTGATCAAGCTCACATAAAACTATATGTTAAAAATTTCAGAATTGAACCAATGGAAGGCTAGGCTGTCTTTCAGATATCTAGTAACATTCTCAAGTCATGTAGTTCGTACCAAATTACCTCATCATGATATCTGCAGTATAACTCGGAACACGCTTGATAATCCATAATGACCCTTTTCAAGCAGGAATTATCCATGTATGGTTTATTTATATGTGAAGTATTATATAATGTGCATCTATGATATACTAACCTCCATAGGGAATGGTATCCCAGCTATAGTGTATGAACTCAATAGTAAAGACGGCTATTGAGCACCCAGACCTGAAACGATAGAAAAAACCATCAAAATTAAAATGTTATCGATGTGTTCAGTGGACAGATAGTGGCGAAGATGTGTAACATAATAATATATTGAATGGTTACGCATCTCTTTGAAAATACCTCCTGTTCTAACCAAGTTTATGTCATTGTGATTGCATTTTTACATAAATATGACACTGGTTAAAATTTAATGGTTCGTTTCGACAAACAGTAAAACTATTTATATATACATTTAGGGAATTATTATGAAGAAAACAGAAGAGATAAAATAGTTTATTATTTTCTAACTAAACGGTATATGCACATACAGAATCAAATTGTGATTGTTATTAGGAACTGCTTTGTCTTTCAGCAGCCAAGGGTCTATATGTTTCCAGGTTGCCGTACACCAAATAAGGCATGGCGGATGGGTTGTGACTTACTTTCCTTTATATTCATAAAATGTAAAATAGTGATTTGAGAAATAGAATCAGTTCTGACTTTATCACAGATTCCATGCAATTCCGTCTTTTCCATTCATATTCCTAGCTCTAAGCCATGCTTTGCCCACATGGTGCAGGTAAAGTAGCACGTAAAACGCCATTCATTTCATTTCAAAGACAAGCTTTGTCTCATATTCCCGTATCCCAACGAAAATTGGCAATGCATTTTTCCTTTGAGTCTTACATGTAATATAAATATTCTTTTTTAATGGCAAATCGGGTGGGAGGGGCATTTAATGAAATTTATCTAAAATTTTATAGAATTTCAAAAAGTCGACTTACCGGTTGCTATAAACAAAGCAAACTGACTGACTGAGTGGTCACTAGTTAGGAGTGAATTTCAGTTACTATCGTTGTCAGGGTAATAATCTATTGTCTTGATTACTATTCAGTAAACCTTCTTTTAACCCTACATAGTCCGAAACGTGCTGTTCCTTTCTAGGCTCTGAAAAAGCATTTTCATAAAAAGTTAAAATCAAATTAAAAAACAATTACTTTAAGAAAAAGGCATAGGGGAACCTTGCAAAAAAGAAAATAGAATTCCAAACTATGATAGCTACTTTTTAAAAAATTTCTGGGAACATCCACTTTAACAATCTAGACAAAACTGTACATGGACCTCTGAACAAAAAATGATCAAAAGATCCAAATTTGCACGAAATTGCTCTTTGCAACTAAATTAAACCCAAGAGACCTACTTAAAATCATAAGTCATAGAGACGAATATGACCAATACCAATTTCGTCAAATATCCCAATTTCAATCAAGTTTTTTTCAATATTAATTAACCCAAAGGAATTAACAAATCTCAATGAACCAAATTAAAATCAGTAACTTTTCAAACTAGCTATTTTCAGTTTTCACAGAGGTTTACAAGACGTGCTAAAACACAATCAATTTTTTGTGTGAACAGTTACAATGATGCAATGATTTCAAATGCAACAATTTGACAAAAGTTTTGCTCTTTTCCTACTAATTAGACCCCAAAACTTATTAAAACAAAACTCATCATCTATATCTTAGCTATTGACTATAACTATTCTTCTTGACCATTATCTGTAACTATTCCTCTTTACCATTATCTATAACTACTCTTCATCACCATTATCTATAACTATTCCTCTTCACCAATATCTATAACTATTCCTCTTTACCATTATCTATAACTATTCTTTTTGTCCATTATCTATAACTATTCACGAAAATCTATAACAATTCTTCAACACCATTATCTATGACTATTCTTGTAAACCATCATCTATAACTATTCCTCTTTACCATTATCTATAACTATTCTTTTTGTCCATTATCTATAACTATTCACGAAAATCTATAACAATTCTTCAACACCATTATCTATGACTATTCTTGTAAACCATCATCTATAACTATTCCTCTTTACCATTATCTATAACTATTCTTTTTGTCCATTATCTATAACTATTCACGAAAATCTATAACAATTCTTCAACACCATTATCTATGACTATTCTTGTAAACCATCAACTATAACTATGCTTCTTGACCATCAACTATAATTATTCTTGTAACCCATTATTTATAATAACCATTCATGAAAACCACTAACTACAACGGGTCCCAACGGGCATGCTTTGGTTTAGAACGGGACTGCCATTCAAAGACAAATGCTTTGGAAGTGCATCAAAAGGAATGATATGTGTAGCTTACCTTCTGTAAAAATTGTTTTTCGTGACAACCAGGACAGATAATTTCTTTAAATCACGTAGTTTCGAACATCCATATCACCGCACAAATGAAATGAAATAAAATGAAATAGATTTTTATTGTCATATTGCATTTCGCAATAGCAATGTTTAAAAGCGTCTTTTTTCCACGACAGTGCCATAACCTATTCTTTTCGATTCAGCATAGTAAAATTAAAAAAAAAAACATTGATCACAACATAACTTGCCTGTTGTTAATCAGTTTTTCATGAATTTCCCGACTCAGGATTTCTTTCAAAACCACAATTGAAGATACACCAACAACCATTTCACTGTCAATTGAAATAAATAAAATGAATTAAAGTTTTACGTCATGATAATATATTGTCAATAGCTCATATCATTCTATTTATGTGAGTTTCGGATACAAAATCCCCATCTTAATAGATGGTTTGGAACTTTGTTAAATTTGGGTGAATAATTGAATTAAGAATTAATTGACTTATCTTGTGTAAAGCTGTTCTTGTATCATACACAGGTTTTCTTCCAATTCATAAGTTCACAATGATGCGGCCTGTTGTCCCATAAAAAAGTGTAATGTTGTATGAGCGGGTTTTTTTTAGGGGAGAGGGTAAGTGTAATGTTGTATGAGCGGGGTTTTTAGGGGAGAGGGTAAGTGTAATGTTGTATGAGCGGGGTTTTTAGGGGAGACAGTAATGAGCGGAATTTTTAGGGAAGCGGGTTTCAATTTCGTGTGATTTTTAGTAGTAATCATCCATGTTGTATAGTTTATTCTAAAGGAATATAAAAGAAGTTTTCGATTCTAACAAACAAGATGAAGATACTACAACTACCATGGAAGCTAATATTTCCATCGATACACAAGCCCGGTATAGGTCAAGATATTCTTAACGGGACAGATTCGCCATGGGGGTTGATTTGAGTCTTGAATATATGTAAACAGTCTTCAGAAGTACCGGAAATGTACGAAAATCGAATAATTCCATCATAAATACCCGAAAATAGGAGTTATACTCTATATTTCTATATATATATGTCTCAAGAAAAAAACGAGTCGTCTATTCAAATTTCAAACGCGGCTAATTCTGGACACATATGTTAATATCTTTGTATGTATGGATTTGGATATGTTTGGAATTTATAGAAGTAGTCAGTATACATTGTTTAATATCTGTTTTTAAATCCAGAATACGCGATTGTTGCAAACGAAATTGACATTCTAGTCTGTATGCAAATAACCTATTGACACAATATTGCATATAACAAGTTGCAGCGGATCAAATAGATGAATGGGGAATTTTTCAACATATTTATGCACTCAAAGGACATGTATTTTAGATGGTTTCCCTTATTTCACTTAAGAAAATTAAAATGTTAATACGTATATGAAAAGAAAATTCTAATGACTTGGAAAAATACCAGTTTGTCTCACATGTCCATAATTAATTCATAATTAGCTAAATTCGAAGAAAATTACCAGCATAATTCCAATGAGTGACCGATCAAGAAAGGTCAAAAAGTATTTTTTGTTTATCCAGACTGTACACGTGGACATTTATGATTGGATAAAACTAGAATATAATATGATTAAGAAAACATGATAATTCATTAGAAACACCAGTTAAAGGGACCTTCCGCTTTTTTTTCCTTTTTTTTTCTCTCAAATTTGTGAAAAATTATGCACCTAAATCTAGAAATGTGTTCCTTAACTATATGAAATCCAGCCGTTAACTTTTGAAGTAGAAGTAGAAGACCAGTTACTTGTCCGTGTTACACCACGTATCCTCGACAGTATATTCATATGCCCAAAAGAGTATTTTTTTATCATTACGTCTAAATATCTGTATATTTTTGTATTTTATTGTAAATAATACGAACTGCATGTTGGCCTACACACAACAAGGTCATAGTAAATATTCACAATTGAATAACTATACAAAACTAAGTTATTTTCACATTGGTTTATCATAGTTAAAATAACATCATTCAGAAATGGCATAATATTGTCACTGTATATACTAATCAACATTTAAATTCAGTTGTGATACCTACTCTCTGACTACACTGTTTTCTGAATTGAATTTTGGCTATTAATTTTTTGTGAATTGAAATATCATTTACAAAATACTACGGAGAGTCTTGGTTTGTCTTTGGATTGATGAAAATATTGACCACTGGAAACGTTATTATTTGTAAACATATTTACAAAGGAGAATTTTCAGTCAGAAATGTACGTCATTTTAAGTGAATTTTCTTGGAGGGAAGTGTGTAAATGTATGTTCTATGGCACCTCTCTTGAAACAATAAACTTATTATCATTATACATTGAGCTGATAGTTTGACAGACGGGAAAATTCAAATTCAGAAACGCGATGGTAAGACTGACGAACGAGCAAACAAAAAGCACCAACATTTTAAATAAAGACGCAAAACTGGACAGTGACTGCACAAAAGAGAAAGACAAACGACTTACATTCAACATGACAGTAATCCAATCCAATATGAAGATATTTACGATTTCCTTTCAACAATAATTACAGAATAAATCCAAGACAAACTCCAATACAGAGCAAAACAAAGTCGACATTTTGTCATGTCAATGACAAATCTTGTTGTGACAACAATCAAAAACACGCATGCACGTGCTTTACTTCAATGGTTATTCACGACTATTCAGCTACTGTTGACGGCGTAACTACCGAATTCTTTATTGAATGTTTTCTTAATTTAAAGTGATACTACCTCTTAGAATGGACATGCAATTTAAAGTCTCAAACTTTGTCAACAAATGCATTAAATTCATCAGTTGGAGTTACCAGGTGCCATGACTAAAGATGAGAATCTCTATATAAGACCATTAAACTAAATAATTATTGAAACACGCTTCTAAGTTAGTTTTATGGATTTATTGGACACCAGGTACGTCCACTGATGAAAAAAGACTCACTTCAACCAAGTTAAAAATCCTTAGAGGTAGTATACCTTTAACCATCATACACATATGAACTGTGGAGAGCTTACAAGAAATTGTGAAGAGACTGGCAGAATTGGGTGCCTACAATATACGACAATACACATCCAACATAGTTTGTGCGAATAAAACGTTAACACCGTCAATTCGTTTAAAGCATCCCAATTGATTTCAAACGCTGTGGACATTTAAAGGCATACTACCTCTTAGATTGAACATAAATTGTAATTTTCAAACTTGACCAATAAGAGTATAATATATTACATCTTTGGACAGTATACCTCTCTAGTCGGACAAATCCATAAAAGTTATCCCTGTTCTTCAATAATTCTGTTGTTTAATGGAATTATCGGATTATAGAGATATTCTGGACACCGGGTAAGTCCACTGAAGAATATACACCAAAGTTTGGCCATGTTTGAGAAGTTAAATCTTATTTGCATTCTAGGAGGTAGTATATATTTAATTTACACAATGTCCGACTATATTATTTGGAATGGGTAGATAAGCCTTTCAACAACATGCATAATAACAGCCGAATTCCACACTAAATTTTCAGTCTTGTTTCAAGTCAATGAGAATGTGGGGCAAGTTCCTTTAAAAGGTTAGTGTCCTCTCTAAATTTTCTAGACCAGATACTCATTTTCAGCTACTCCCTCCTGTGAGATTGAAAATAAAGTCTGAAATTCCATGGAGTGCTTTCAGCTTTTGTTTTATTTTCATTTAGAATTATGAAATAGAAAGCTGAAATTGAGTCTTTGAGCTGGTAAAGCAAATATGTAGACGACCATAGCCTTTTCAGAAAATTACTAGGTTTTCCAAAAATTTTAATATTAATAATGACATCATTCCATAATATAACAAAATCTCTAACATTCAAAGTTTCAACATTCAGACAAGTTTTTGACACATCTAAAATATATATGTATGCTGCTATTTCTATAACATAATTATAATCTTTTCATAATTTATACAATATTTATATCTTATATTTCTTTATATTTACATGCATTACAAATATATTCATATAAATATGTGACCTTATATGAAATATAATCATAACTTTAGATTATAAAAATAATATGGTAATACTTAAAGTTACTTTCTATGAACAAGCAATAATTTTGCATTTCAAACTTGAAATTGGAACACAAAACCCTTACATCAAACTAAGGCATATAAAACAAAGTTGACGACACAATCACAGTAGAATGAGATGTTGAAGTATTTTAGGTTAAACAACTTTGTACCCCTTTTTGAATCATAAAAGAAAAAGTTTGCTGTGTGCCTCATATAGCATACAAAACTATGTATGGTTTTCTTAAACACAAATAGTTCAAAACCATTTTTAACCCCAAAGTCGAATTCTGATAAAGGTTATAATATTTCAACTAAGCCTTAAATCACATTTAAAAGTTTAGTATTGGCTTCAAATGTGATTTTCATGTTGGCATTTACTTTGAACAGTTTTGAAGTAATTTTCTGTATACATGGTTTTACTTAAACATAAAGATAGTGCCAGTTCTCTAAAGACATATATTTTCATTATATTTCAATGTATGCAATTACTGAAGAATACACATTTTTATATCATATTTGCATTCACTTTGAATACACTGCTTATTTGCTCATAAAGTATTCTTTTCCATGAACACAATACCAAATTTTCATTATATTTCTATATTCACATATTGACCATAGTTCCAACTCTATCTTCAAAGTATTTCATTTTCATTCTAGTTCATATTGAACACAATGCCAAATCTCACTACAAATACCAGTATGAAATTCTGGTATAGTTCCAACTTTGCATTCATAATGAACACTGTGCAATCATCCTAATGAAATCATTAACTTTCCATGTTGGCACATATATTGAACGTATTGCCCATTTTCATGTAAGAATCATTACTTTCATTATAATTCCTATATTTGCATAGTCATTAGAATATGAATATTTATTACATTTTCAATAAATGTACATAGATATCATGCAAAATAATATAATTATACCAAATTTAATCATATTTTTTTTATATTGACATATTGAGAGGGCCAAATTTCTCAATTAAATTTCTTTGAAAAAATGTGCTAATGTGTCTGGAAATAATGCCAGGAACAATACAAAAACAAAACAAAACAAAACAGAACAAAATAATCAAACACTATAACTTTGGTGGTTTTCCATCTGCTATTGCATTTCCTGTATCTTTGCCACTATAGAGATCACCAGTTTTGGTCATTGTTGCCACATCATTTAATATCATCTGTGCTATTTGTAATGCCATATCTTCTTGTTCCTTACAAATCAATTCAAATAATTAAAAGCATGTAGAGAGGTTCATACACATTCGGAGATAATTCAAAACATATACACAAGCAGTCTACTTTTGTTAAGGTATATAGGTACTACATTTTAACACTTTCAGGCAATATATACCAGAGCAGCCAGTACACCAGCCGTTACTAGGTGATGTCATACAACATCACTCTCATATGCTTTTACTTTTATTACTTGGAGTTCAGGGTATATGACGTTGTATTTCATTTACACTCAGGGTTCAAAGGGTTAATGAAACTAGACAAGCAAGACATGTACTGTGTCTAAACTACCAAAAAAGTAAAGTGGTTTGCTTATGTTGCCAAGATAATTTCAAGTAAAATAAATAATACAAGTCAGGGTTAATGATCAATTTTGAACACATTTATAAATTTAAGATGAACTACACAGGAAGGCCATTAGAAATTCATGAATCTTTCATTTTAAAGGGATTGTGAAAAGGTTTTGCAAAGGACACTGAAAGCATCATTTTGCAGCAAGCCAATTTTCATTCAGACATCTGTGGTTCTTGAAATTCTGCGTCACTATCGCAAAAGGCCTTAGATAGTGACATCATAGTTTAGAAAACCTCATTATAAACCCTTTGAGAATAAAGATTTCACTTACCTTTTCTTTTAAACGACTTTTCTTAAAAAAGGATTCTGGAAAAATGAAAAAAAAATGTACTTAAAATTGACTAAGATATAGACAAATTAGGATCAGATTACTTATTTCCAAATATCCAAACTTTGCTCTAGTTTGCATAAGTGAAAATATCAAAAGATTGAACCCCATTTGAAAACAAAACACTCTTATCTATAACATCTTAGTTAAAAGTGTCTGTACAATAGACTTCTATTATTGATGACTATGAGATCCCACGCATTTCTTAACCCGATGGCTTGGTGAAAGATGCCATGACCGAAACATTATTGCCCCCCGTGAAGAAATTCTTACTTTTCTTTTCTTTCTGATCTGGTTCTGGTGCAAATTCTGATACAAATTGACCAAAATCATCAACTTTACCAAGAGACATTGTACTGAAAGATTAACATAGGGTCATTGAGTATGTACATAGAAATAAATTATGCTAACTAAATTAAATATCATACAAACTACAGTATAGAACTACTAGTAACAAACAGTAAGGAAAATGCTTAAAGGGACAGATGAGTCATAGGGAATTTTTTTGCTAAGCAACTAAGTAATAGTGTTCATAGCTCACAGCCTATTCGTGTTTGAATGTTAAAACGACTCATCATTTTAAGATACTCTGTGAATAACATATATAGAAATAGAAAATAAATTTTTTTAGTTCATTTCTAGTATTTCTTGAGACTATTTATGTATTTTCAAGACTCAAATCAACCCCAAAAATGATGAACCTGTCCCTTTTAATTTGACCGCTGACTGAAGGAGGTTGCTTATTGAAAACAAAAAGTTAAACCTACTGTATAATATATGGTAAATTCAACTTACTTTTGGGCAGGACGTTTCCATAATTCTTCAGGATTTAATAACTGATCATCTATTCTCATATCAACATCTAGTTTATTAAAGACTTTCTTTATACTACTGCTATCGATTGCTAATAAGGTATTTTTATGTGATAGACTATCCGCTCCTATACTATGACTACCAGCACTGTGTTCCGAGGATGCATCACTTCCTAAAATACCAAAATTAAATGCGATTATAATCATGTGATGATGGATCCACATGAAATGGTTGAAATAAGGCAGCAGAAAAAAGGCTCAATTAGACCATTGATCGGATTCACCAGCTGCATAGATGTAGGTTAGGCCTGCATGCTGTATTGCCTTTTTCAATAAAACTACAGACCAACATTGAGTTAAGTTGAAATGAGTTAAGTGATGTTTACGAAGTGTCAAATATTGGCTGATAATCTAGGTTCAATGTGTTTTCGAGCAGTTGTTAAAAAAAAATTTTGGAATATTTGTATTCCAATATATTCAAACCCTAAAGTTCCATCAAGTTATTTTTTTAATTTCAGATCAGAATCAGAACAGAAGAAAACCCAATATCAAGACCCTTAATCATAATTTCTAAATAAAGTGTCTGCTCCACTCTAGGCCTGTACATTTGGGAGAATCAAACCCTCCCTTTCCCGAAATCTAAAGTTCCATCAAATTTAGGATCCCATGAAAGAATAACAATAAAGGAGAAATTGTACCTGTTCGTTTTCTGCGTGTTGGTAAATCTTGTGACATATTAACTGTAGTTATCAAATCAGATAAATATTTATAATATACTTCACTCTTTAAAAACTGGCAAAAATACAACTGAAAGATACAAAAAAAAAAATATAAATAATTTGGTATTTTCATGGCTGCCAAGTCAAATTAGAGAATATGATAATGGATCCACCAACTTTGTTTTGCATTTTATCAAGTTTCGTGAAAAGTGGCAAAGATGTTAAGAATGTCATATTTTAAAGGCACCTAATTCAAATGTTTGAAGCTTTTGGAAATTTAATAATAAACTCTGTTTTAGATTAAATAGATACACATCAAGTTGTGCCAAAATCAGTTGAAAATATAGAAAATATGTTATAACAGTAACAAAACAAAACTGTCTCTGTCCTTCATCACTCACAACTGAAAAGTCCCAAAGGGTGGAAACTGATGCAATTGATAAAAGGAAAGAAAACACTTTTTTTCTAAGCTATAATTTTTTCATACATTGCTTTTGGGCTATAAATTTTCATTAATATGACAGGTCACAAATCATTACATAATAATCAAATCTAATTAATATTTAATTACATAATGTAATTACCAATATTAATTACATTTAGTGTATCACTGAAGATATTAGTATTTAGTGAAAGTGAGAGAATGCATTGATTTAATCGTTTCCTTAAATAGCTTAATTTAGTTTTGGGAAAGTGATTTGGTTTCTAATTGTGATTTTTTTTTGGTGAGAAATTAGTCCCCTTTTGAAAAAGTTAAAGAAATCATCATATTATTGACATTGAGAAACTGAAATCACATTACCTTATCTAAAGTATTAAGCACTATCGCTCTAGGTTTAGAAAATACATCAGGTAATGGACCACCTTCATGGCAAATATTACTCTCTACTTCAAACCGGGTTTCATCATCAAATCCTAGAGGTTGACTAGCTTGCAAAGAAAAGTACCTGAAAAATTGTTGACCATAGTTCAATCGACAGTGCAATTGGTAATAATGTGCAGAAATTGCAACAAATAGCAAATTGCATTAAACAAAGCGCATTGTGAAATCAAAAAGGTTTTTTTTTCTTTGTTGAGGAAACACATAGCTATTTTTGTTGAGAAGATCTTAGACTTAAATGGGCAAGTTTGCCATTTTCTGGAGTTGATTTCTATATGACCTTTTTAACTTTTGGACTCACATGGATTTAAAGGCTCAAATTTCAACATTAAGCAACAAATACTATTACTGCTCAGCTAAGCTAAAAAAATTTCCCATTTCTGAAACTAAGGTACAATTGGTCAAACAGAGTTCTCCCTTGGGTAACTGAGCAAAGCACCTTATAAAACCTCTTTGATATACATGTGCAAAGTATCTACTCACTTATCATAAAAGACCATGGCATCATTTTGTGCCTGAATACCATCATATTCTCCTTGAGATTTTAGATGTTTCTGAAAATTATCTACCGCCATCCAGAATTGTAATAAATCACTGCCACCTTCTTGTTCTAAAAACTGAAATGAAATTCGGTCATATTTGAAGATTTTTTTAGACCAAATTCTTGTATATAATCAAAATGTAATCAAAGGTTTTGAGTCAAATCAAAAGAAATCAAAAAAAGTATAAAATCTCATTCTTCTCTAACTTTCCTCCAATCCAGACAGCTTATTGCTTACCCTATACAAAGTGCCAGTGCTTCCGAGAGTGAGTTCAAAATGAACATTATTAACGACACATGGTATTCAAGAATCAAAGAAACTGCCTCATCAGTAGCTGCTGTTTTCAAGACATTTACCTTTTCCATAAAAAGAATCATCTTCAATAATAACCAGTTTATAACAAAACAGTAAGAAGATGAGTATATAAAACTAAATTCAAAAAATCCATTCTTAATAACTATATATTTTTGTGTAATGATCTTAGCAAAAAAGCAACAGACTGAGTAATCAAGATTTCAAAATTAAAAAATGAGAGACTCACCTCAGTAAAATAAAAGAGAGCCATTTCATTATATAAAATGTCTGGTAAATCAACTTTACCACCAGTTAATACATCAACTTGATGTTTACAATGATATTCACTGCCTTGAAAAGATGGGAAATGACTGGAAATAACACGAAAAAATAAATCTATTAATGTTTCTTAATATAGTAAGAAATATCCTAGATTGATACAGGTCAAGCATTACAACTGATGTTGTATTTGTTACCTCTCTTGAAAATGGAAAGTGAGAAATTTCCCAGTAGGAATTGACATTTAAAACCTACAGAATTATATTGCAAGATGTATTTCCCAACTCTGGTATACTGTGAGCAACCTATGTTTAGTTAAGACTTAACAATATTCGTGCAGCCTCCTGGTTTTATGCAAATAATAAATATTTATACTTTAATGTAAGCATCTATTCTGAATTTCTGAGATGTATACCAAAAATGACGTAAATGGTTATTAATACTCAGGAAAATTCCCATAGGAAGCAAATTACAATGAATTTTACAAAACTTACTTTTTCTGTAAAAGATCTAAAACATATTGTTGACATTTAATAAAACAATAAGGATCAACTTCTCCATCTTCACGACAAATACTACCTAGAGTGGAAAAAAAAATTGAACAATAAGATTCTGAACAATAGGATTCAGCAAGTCCAAATTTTACATTATTGTCCACCTGTGACATTTTAATTTCTAAATAAGTATCCTGATATAAATTTTGATCAACAGCAATGACTCTAAAATCATAATAGAAGCTTACCCGAATTTGCTTTCTTTGTTAACACGAATTTAAAAGAAAACCTACTTTACTCAACAATAAGACATATTGATGTTGAAAAAAAGAAAATGCCTGAGGGGCCCCTTATGATTTCTAATGGTCTAAGATGAAATTTAAGCAATTCTAATAGGGCTTAATTTTCATTTCAAAATAAGACCTTTTACCCCCTAAATATGTCACTGTTAAAAAGGTATATGAGTCATTACTATTGACAAAAAAAACAAATAATCAATAACAGTGTTGATGGTACTATTTAAGTATATAGCTATAGTAAACAATGAATAATACTTACTAATGGTTTCATTACGTAGCTCATCTGATATACCTATAGGATGAGTAGCTTCTAATGATATATATTTAGTGAAAATATTTACAGCATCTCTTGCTATACCTTAAAATAGATAGACATGATTCATTTTAAATAATTATTAACTAATCACTAATGTGTCAAGAACATATTTAAAGACATCTCTGCAAAACTACTAATAGACTGCTGCCAAGTGTGTGGATTGGAAAACGCTATATCGTCAATAGGGTATTGAGTTGACCACCTCAGTCACTGAGTGGCATTAAGTTTTGTGAAAATGAAAAATTAAATGAATAGAGTGCACCTAATTGAGCTCATGAAGAAGGGCACTATGTGAATTAGTGAAATTTTGTCAGGTCATTAGCCTACTTTTTTTACAATTTTCAACTGTCAAGGAATTTCAGAAGTGCACAGCATATATAGTACACACTACACACGACAGGAGTCATTACAAAGGAACTAAAAAAAAATTAAATAATGAATATGGCACTAGCATTAAGTTTAAAAATGGTGACTTACTTCTTTTCAGTTTATCTTTGATATCTTCTACTTTATTCAGACCTGATTTACTTTTATTTTCATTATTTACATTATTTAGGTTTGATTCCGATAAATGTCTGTGTTTTGGATGTGAACCTGCCAAATCTTGGGTATTTTCATTGAACACAGGTTCCGAATAATGTCTGTTCTTTACACCTGCATTATCACAATTTAGCTCTGAGAGGGAAGCAACAGGATTACAAGCACTTTCTTTGATGTCTTCTGAATCATTTTTTACTTCATCAGGACAGTTTTTATCAATAGTTTGCATTGAATTCTGTTGTCCATTTCCAATTGTACTGAGTTTGGCAGTACCACATTTGGATGGCTTGGCACTCTCAACGACATCACTCAGTTTGGCATCAGAGTCAAAAACACGTTTGGTTTGAATCTCATTTGATATGTCAATTTGTCCTTGATTAACGTGATTTAAATTTTCAGTTTTTTGGAGGGTTTCATGTTTTGATTTGTTTGTCAAGTTCCCTGACTTGAGGTCCTGATATGAATTCTCATTTTCAAATCGTGCATGCTTATTCTCCTCTGAAATTCCTGCTGAAGTTGAATTTACAAGACAATTTATAGAATTATTTTCTACAACGCAATCAAGACTTGTTTTGGATGTTGGTGATTTAGGTTGGTCTGATAAGGAATGAGAGCTGGTGGATCTACGAGACTGAGTTCGGTTTCGTGTGAGAGTTGCCACTTGAAAACTTTCTGCATCTAACCAAAATCGAATATATTTATCTGCCTTCCGTGATTCCATGAAACTGATAAATAAAGGGAGAGCATCTCGATCATGGACAATTTCTGTGAGGTTCTTGGATAACTGAGATGAGGTTCGTAATGAGGATTTCTTTACTCCTAAAAAAGTCATCAATCATCATTATATGTGAGTAAATTTTCATTTTTAAAAGCAATTGAAACTTAAGTATATATCAGCTTCAAACGCAGTACAGATATTCTCAGAATACCATTGTCAAAATAAATGACATTTGCAGTTGAAATCTTTTGGAGATGGTGTTTATATTAAAAATAATCATATTAAAATTCATACAAGTCTATTCTAATCCATTTTAAAGTTGATAACTGAAAGGGAAGGCTTGCCATTTTTTTTACTAATCATGCCTTAGTCTTAGAAACTTTTTAGCTAATTAGTAGTGTTCACATATCAGTCAAAATTTGAGCCTGTGTGTCCAGAGTTATCCGTGTTTAAGAGTTAAAAAAGACCACTTGTCTTGTCTTGAGACTCTGCTCTATATAGAAAGGACATATATAAACAGAAACTGAAATTTCTAGTTTGAGTTTTTGTTTTAGGAATTATGCGATTTTTGTCCAGTTTTGGTTTAGACTTCTGAAGGCTATTTACATATATATTCAAGACCCAAATCAACCCCAAAAATTCTTACCCAAATCACCTTGATCTTCATAATCATCTAATGGTAATAATACACATGGTCCACAAGCACCACTCTCAAAACCACCTGAAAACATAAAAACAATCAACTCATTTTAATTATTAAGGACATGTCTGACCTACAAATATCATCAAGATAATATGTTACTCATACATAACACAAAAGTACATACAAATTGCTGATAAACATCTTAAATATCATATATATAAATATGTACTCATACCAGCCCTATTAAGCCTGGCAAGTTTTGGCACTGACAATATCTTGCCTTGGCTTGTGTGGCAGTAATCCCATTTATGTCTATGACCTGGCCTAAAGGTCAACGATTACAAGTCCTGCTGAATATCTGACGCTCATTTAAACAAGGCAGCTTCCAGTCTTCATCTCTGCAGGAGACTGCTAGAGGCACCCCTGTAGTATTTAAAAATTGGCAAGCTGATACACATGTTCTGACCAGCGTTCTGTCAGAAGATTGATCAGTGTGAACAAAGCTTAACCAGCCCTAAATAACTGTGTGATGTGTCATACCGGTACCTTTTCTATGGAAAAAAAGGAAGATAATAACTGTTTGTATTTACCTTGTTCTCCAAAACTATCTAAACTGCTGAATGATTTTGTACTTCCCTTACTAACTGAAGATGCTGTACGTGTCAATGATACTTTGCTAGAACTCCCAGGATTAACGCCTTTATCTGAAACATTACAAAGAACTTTTCGTGTTATTCGCATTGCTTGGGATTAGATTACATGCTATAAGCTTACATGTTTCTGATAATTCTATGCCATGACATAAGACAATATAAGCTTACACTTTACAGATAAAAACAATTTCAACAATCCATAGAATTTTATAATTTAAAACTGACAACTAATTAATTAATTTTCTAATATTCAATTAAAAAAAAATACTGGTAAGATTGTTGTTACTACCATGCATCTATGTCAAAATAAATAATAGTAACAGCTGCATTATATGCTATGAACTACAAAGTCTGAATTTAATGAATGTTGGCCTGAAAGTGCAAAACAGCATCTAGACACTTATTCTAGACAGTCATGTCTAATGCTTTTCCGCATAGACCTAGGCTTTGGGTCACCATTTTCTTAGATATAAGTTAGGGTAACGCCTACCAAAATGAAAACATGTAAATTTTACCTTTCTTTTTGCCGAAAAATGGCATGATCGTTCTGCCATTTATTTAACACAAGGTACATGCTTTGAATAGGAAATGTGATATATCAAGCAGTTTGGTTATAGCTTATCAGAACTAAAATCAAACTACGATTGACAGATTAACTTCCTAAACCAAAAGGGGGCGGCCATTTTCTGTTATTCTTCAATGTAGAAGCGAACGCGAGTAAATTGAAGCGGTTGTCTCCCCTCGTCTTCAGACAACAAGTAAATGAACGCTCAGGGTGTTCAGCACATCATAAAACTAACATTAAATGCAGCAATTTTGCCAAAACAATGTATATGATTCACTTTCTCATCTTAAACTGTATTGTAGCTCAGCTGGTTAGATTGTAGTATTCCTCACATTATGTGGAACAAATATTGTGGTCATGGGATCACCTGGGTGGTTGTGTGCAAGTTGGTGGCTCAATATTTTAGTTTACTGAATCTGGATACCTAATCATTACCTAGAGGTCTGTCCCAGGACCAGCTGATAGAAAGGATCCTTGAGAATCCAATTAGACTCATTGGTACTTCGAAAAATGAAAAGACAGTATTTCAACAATTTTGAAATCATTTAATGAAAATTATAACATATCGAAAATATCCATATCAGATTAAAGTTAAGGTAAGAAAATATTGCAATTAATAATGCCTCTATTATTTCTGTGATATACAATCCATTTGAAACCTTTTTTGATTTAATTATTATTATCAACAATTTTAAAATCATGTACTTAAAATAATAACATTATCAAAAATATCCGTATTAGATTAAAGTTAAAGTAAAAAAATATTGCAATTAATAATGCCTCTATTATTTCTGTTATACACAATCAATTTGAATTCTTTTTTGATTTAATAATTAAAAAAAAAATTGAAATATAATCATGAATTAAATTTTCATTTGACACTAAAACAATGTGAATGAATTTTTAACTTGACTAAATACTCATTTGACTAAAAACCAATAAAGTTGATAGTCTTATAAAAAAAAAAATCTTTTACATAAATTATCATTTGACACATGATCAATGAATAAATTTTAAATTGAGTCCAATACTCTTTGACTAATAACCAAAAAGTAATTTCATTGGTATAATAAAAAAACCTTTTAATTTGATTTTCATTTGACACTTGTTCAGTATGAAAAAATTGATAACAAGTCACCACAGATGAATATGAACATAAGAGCACTTTAAAATTTGGCAAATATACATTTAAGCATGAAATAATGTACAATTGATGAATTGAGCTATTTTAACAGACATTTCACATTTTTTAAGAGTGGAGATATTTTATTATTGTATATTTAATCAATACAACTGTATGCAGCTGGTGTAATGAAACAAAATTTTTCAATACTTGTCTGACATTCATAAATATCGACAATATACATCAACATAAAAGATAACATGTGAATCTGAATATGGGTTATATTTGATTCAAAAATCATTGAGTGTGAATTTTACTAGAAACATAATTAGATTGCAGATTTGGGAGAAGATGTCACTAGGACTATCACCTAAAAATCAATTCAAATTTTTCTAAAAAAAAATCATTACAAACACAACATAATATATATCTTTGCAACAGATTTTGTAAGGCCTTCAAATACACCCAGTTTACAATACAATTTCACAAGACTTCTGTTTGCCTCCTGAATTTGCCATAATTAAAACTGAATGACTATCATTGACCGTTGACTATCTAATGAAACACTTCTACATATGGCATACCATATACACCCCATCCCATTCTCTTAGCTAATTTTGCCAAACCTTCAGTCTCTATATGATGATCAAGTATGGTCTCAGGAAATTCAAGACCTTTGCGATGTAAATCTGCATTGATCAATAAAGTGCAACCACCAACTCCATCTATTGGTACAACACGCCCCTCGGCTCGTAGATCAGAAAGATAAAGGCGTAAAATAGTGCCATAACCTTCCAGCATTAACTCATCTTTTTTCATGTCCTTTTGCTTCATTAAGGAATAATTGGTTTCACGCCAGGTATTCTTATCAAAGACTCTTTTCTTGCTACCATCTTGATAAACACATAACGGAACTACTATATCACGTTTTGATGACAGAAGTAGTTCAATAATATTAGGAGGTAGAAAACTTATATCACTATCTATCCATAAGACCCACTTATGCTCTTTTTCCAAACTAGATTTCAACAACATATTGCGCACCTGAGCTAGGTGTTTTCTTCTTGGTAATTGTAAATATTGATTATGGATTCGATTCCATGGTCCTTTAATTTGACCTGTTAAATTAAAATGAAAGACTTTGACACTAGGAAAGGATTTCTGCAGATCAATTGCACTAGACTTAGCTACACTTAATGTTGCATCTGTACTGCAGTCTTCTCCAAAAGCTATTGAGATCAATTCGTGAGGATACGTAATTCCTTTTAAAAGATTGGAAAAGCGAACTAATATGCCTGCGACATTGTGAATTGGTGTCAAGATTAATATCTTATCTTTGTAAGCAATTTCATCATATTTCAAAAAATGTTGGTAAATGGATGACTCAATAGGCTGCACCACATCTGATGTTGAAATCTTTGGAACTTGAGGAACCCCCTCAAGAAATGCAATGTCAGATTCTCTCCTTCTCTGTTCATATAAACTCCAATCTTTTAAATTCCAATCTTGGGAAGGTTTGGTATTCCTCACAAACAACAATTCTGAATCCAACAAAAATGCCACAAACAGAAAGATACAACAGGCATTCACTGCACATAAAAAAAACACTGTCCTTCTAACTAAGACTTTACGACAAAGCATCTGATCGGGACACATATTTTTCAACTGAAAGCATAACCTAGTGCTTAAGTTCTTTCCTGAAATAAATATCATAGATGAAGATAGATTCTACAAGGATAAACTTACTCTGTTAAGTAGATGGTAGGTCAGAGACTAGAGTACTAGTACTACAGTGTTAGTGTTTGAAGTTATTTGCATGGTTATGTCAACAAATGACAGCCACGAAGTCTATACCTGCCATAAACAGGATCCATGATTGAACCTATGCTGATTTGTGAAGTTGCCTTGCCCATGGTGCTTCTTATATAGAGTGTCAATTAGGTTAAAAGACGCACCCACTTTAATTGGACTTGTCCAGGCTTTAAAAAGTGACCGATTATTTAATACATCAATTTTTACTAGTACAAGCAGTCTGTGTTATTAAGAAGTAACTAACTACAAATACTTACGAAATCCATATAATCGTTTATTAGGTATAGCCATTTAAAATGAAATGATCGAAAAATCAGTAAACCGCAGCAGTAGCGCTTATCAATTATATCAATTAGGATATCAGTGATATAGAGTCGAAAGACGCAAACCTTATCTGGTCGATTAATTGGTTCAGAAGTCTACCCGTTGGCAGTAAAATGATTGGCTCCATCAATTTGGAACCCGTCCAATTATGACAAAAAAATGAAGCATCGAAAAACACATATCATCGGAGGTCACAAAGCGATCAATACTAACGTGTAGAAGGCATGTCTGATGATTACATACATCGCAATCCACTTGGTGGTAAAAGGGAGACAACTCGATTACTCTTTAGCGATGGAGGCGTTAACGGTTAAATTTTAATAACAATGGCAATGGACAGAAATCCACGAGCAAATGCAGGTTGGCCAAAAGGAAAGCAAGTATTCACTTCTAAAATGTCTTCGGGAGTTCCATTAACTATTGAAAGGACAATCAACTTATATCCATTAACCAACTACACGTTTGGAACCAAGGAACCCTTGTACGAAAAGGACAGTTCGGTACCAGCAAGATTCCAACGCATGCGAGATGATTTTGAAAAAATTGGAATGCGTCGGTCTGTAGAAGGAGTTTTGATAGTGCATGAACATTCTTTACCTCATGTTTTGCTCCTACAACTTGGTACCACTTTCTTCAAGTTACCCGGCGGTGAATTAAATCCAGGGGAGGATGAAGTTGAAGGCTTGAAACGACTTTTGACAGAGACTTTGGGAAGACAAGATGGCGGACCAATGGAATGGGTTGTTGAGGACACCATAGGAAACTGGTGGAGGCCAAATTTTGAGCCCCCTCAATATCCATATACACCAGCTCACATCACTAAACCTAAAGAACACAAGAGACTTTTCTTAGTGCAGTTACCTGAGAAGGCGTTATTCGCAGTTCCTAGAAATTATAAGCTTGTGGCTGCACCCCTGTTTGAACTTTATGACAATTCTGCAGGATATGGACCTATCATTTCTAGTTTACCACAGACCCTGAGCAGATTTAACTTTTTATATAACTAAAATGAATCAACCAGCTTCATTGACTGCCAACAGACTTTTATCAACCTTTTATTTGGTTATTTTCAGTGACAACACTTGTGGTACAGTGTTTTAACATTTTCATTTTTAACTGGTGGAATACATTCAAATCATCCTAAATCATTATGGACTAATAAATAAAATGTTGAAAGTTAATGTGTTTATGTATGGCAAAAGCAAGTTCAGTCCAAGTTATTGAATGGAGGAGTAGTACCATTGTAGGCCATAGAATTGACCTGATTTGGGGGAACAATTGTACCAAATGTTGGGGCCATTATGGTCAGGTGCCAAGTTCACACATATAACCCTGAGTACATAAGCTTTTTATTTTATTAAGTATAGTTTGCGTCCACATTTTAGCAGTAATATTATAAGTTATATTACAAATTGATGTCATACTGGACAGGCAAAGGTGACAACATAGACCCATGTAATAATTATGAAAACAGTTAACTATATTGTATGTTAGACTAATTTACATCAGTCGAATTTAACATTCAATCTTTTGAAGTTAGGATATGACTCTTACTGTCTTGAAAATTACAATCAAAAAAATGTATTACAAAGAAGAGCCACATTACCTTATTGAAGATGTGGAATCAAGCAAAACTGGTAACTTCTATGTTGCCAGAACAGCATATCAATTTTCCACAGACTTTGTTTAAGGTTTCATCTGAACAACTGTTTATCACACCATCAAACCTGATTGGGGCAACCAGATTGAGAAATCAGTTTTGTGTCAACCAATGCTCCTAATACTCCACCTTTAAGTTAGCAAGCAAACAGCAAAAGTGGTTTATGCACATAAACCATTATGCATCTTGCCAAAGCTTCCAAATTCTTCTTTAAAATGGAACATTGCATTGCACAGTCTTGTTTCATTTTGCATGAGACTGAAATAGTTTCCATTTTGTCTCACTATCTGTTGATAAGTCCTTGTTACACTTTTTAATTTCACCTACCAGCTAACAATAATTTTGTATTAATTGACAAAAGTGAGAATTTTTAAAGATTTCTTTTTGTTTATTCCAAGGATAAAGATTTAACATAAAATAAATGATCAACAAAGATAAACAATGAATATTGTGATTTTGAGAGTTCAACATGTAAATATCTAATATCATTAAACAATCAACAAAGATACCATTTTTCATGGATAAATCATTCCATTAATATCACATTAATTAATTCTATAATACAATATAATTGAATAAATATGATCTGCATATTGTGAATTTTACATATAATGCTATTTATTTTTAATAATTAATATACAAATTACCATTAATCTATACCTTCATGTAAAGTAATGTACTTTGAATCGTTAATTAAAATTCATGGCTATGAGAGAATAATTATTTCTTCAACATTATTGATAACTGTGAAATGAGCCAATATTTAGAAGTAATTTCCGATATTTTACAAAATTCGGTGATTTCCACTTAACTTATTCTAAAAAGGGACAGTTGTGCCATTTTGGAGAGTTGAATATATGTAAATAGTCTTCAGAAGTGCTAGAAATGCAAGAAAATTGCATAATTCCTTTAAAAACACTTCAAACATTGTCATTTTAACATTCAGACACGGATAATTCTGGACACACATGAATTTTGTCAATGAACTGTGAACTCTATTACAGATTGGCTTAGCTAAAAATGTCCTGTATTTGAGAGTATCTAAGGTAGAATTGGTCCAAAAATGGCGCACCTGTCCCTTTCATATTACTGAAGCAGTTAAGTTATTTGGAATAATAATATATCCATTTTGAAGTCTTCACTCAACATGATAAATAGAATAAAGATATTATTTTGTTTCAAATTAAACCATAATAGCTTTGTTGACAATACTTGACTTTCGTCTTCTACGACTTGATGGTTCACAAAAACTGTCTTGATCTTGACTAGCACTGATTTCAAAATCTTGAGTCTGAAAAATCAGAAATATTCAAATTTTTCTAAATCTGTAAATTCTAATTTAAGATTTGATGCTGAAATGAGTACAATCTATAGCAGAATTAATCCAGATCAAAAATGCGAGGGCAGTAATCCCAAAGAACAGTTACAATACAACCTTTGATCAAATCATTCAACATGACAGAGATGTAACAAACCTCATTAGTTTTAGAATAAGCTCTCTTCTTTCCACGTTGACTTTGCCTTATCTCTTGTGTGTTATTCACCTACAAATAAAAATGAAAAAAAAATGCCATGTGACAGACTTAAATATTTTACAATTGATTCACTTTCTCACAGTGACTTTCTATGAGGAGAAAACAATATTACTGCATTTTAGTGTTAAGCTTTGTATTATTATTATTTAAAACCATAGGAATCTATGCATTTTATCATGGATGTTTATGTACTGTTTTATTTTATCTTTTAATTTTTTATCCTGAAGAATTGGTTTTCCGATTTTATTTGAGTAAATCAAGATGACCTTTATCAATATCATACAAGATTATTCAAAAAAACAAACCATACGTTTGAAAATCAAATGATATCCTGAATAAGTACCTCAGTCCCTAGTAAAATGTTTACCTACTTAATATGAAACATGGAACCACCAGATTATAATAATCTTCTCTATTTTTACAAATACTAACTAAACTAAATTTAACAGCACTTATACATATATAGTTCTAACTTTTCATAACTTTTATAAGCATTTTTTCCATATCACTCTAAATCTAAATATGCAATAGTACTCGAGAAACACTTGGTGTTTGTTTACAGCTGGTAATACAAGGTTTACTTACCAAATTGTCATCACTTTGCCCTTTCTTCTTTTTTCCACTCAGATTAATAGATTCTGTTTTAGAGACTAGAGAATCAACCTTGAAAAATAATAGAAATTAAATGAAATGAGAGTTTTATATCCTTCTTATCTGCTACTGATTGAACCATTAAAAATATCTCACCAGCATCACTGATATCAGAACAATCCAAAGTAAGATGCTAACTTGCTAAGCTCTTGATTCTTGTAAAAGAATATGATATTCATGCATGACATATCAAGACATTAGATAGATAAAAATTTCCATAAACCTAAAAGCAATTTTTACACAGTGCAGAGAAAAATATTGTCTATTATTAAATACGTACATCATTTGGTAGTTTCTTTGGTACTGGCAATGTATTTGCTTTCATACTAACCTACAAAATACCCAGTGACATGACTAATACTTAACCTGAATATGTACCAATATCAGAAGTAACAATATAGAACAGCGAAGTTATCAAAAAAAGTGTAAAAGCTTGACTTAATTTTGAAATATATGCAATCAAAAACTTAACGACATGACTTGGAAATGCCAAGTGTTTAGTTTCATTCTGTGTTCAGAAAAGATGTTCTCTGCATAGATCTAACATGGATGCTCAAGGCTACAGTTAACTGCTCTTTTAAATGGTTGGGATGAAATCATTTTTTTCTAGCATTAATTCATGAAATTTTCTGCTTTTCATTTAAGTCTGTTCAGTTGGTATTTATAATCAAAACTAACCTGTGAATCTTCATTTATAATTGTCTGTTTATGAACATCAGTTGTTGGTTTTTTGGCACTAACATATTTTGGTATAGCTTCAAGTCTAATTTTGTCTTTGTCAACTAGTTTTCCCAACCTAAATAGAGATTTTTATTTGGTTAAACTGTACCTTCATTAAGAAACAGATTAGGAGAACTCCAAAGTGAAGTCTAAGTACAGTTTCCACTGTAGCTGAACAAAGTAAAAGGATAATTGAATCTTAAATCATTAGCTTTTTACAGTGTAATATCAACTGTCAGAGTATAAATAAATTATAAAATTTTGCAAGACGAAATTCCTATGTTTTGACATTACTATCAACATAAAATTTGACTTAATACACACATATCTACTATATTTTGGCATTATTAACAAAAAAAAATACTGAAATTATGATATATTGTTGATATCCCATTGAAAAAATATTATTATTGGTCTTAAAACTAAGACTCATAATTTATACCTGTACAATCTCATTAAATTGTAGATTAACAATAAGTCAGAAAACAAAAACAGATAGCTGATAAAAAATATTTACACAATCTTATCTGTTATTTTTCAGTAACAACTTACCGTTTTCCCTTTCCAGCATTTCTGACAAATCCTTCTTTCTCAAGTCTGTTGATCAATCCTTGAGCAACTGTAGCTTCTACACCTAGACGTCGAGCTAAATGAGGAGCTAGGACACGATTTAAATCTAAGGATGCTAATATAGCTCTTCTCCATAAACAAGTAGCCTGGAGAAAATAATGAAAAATAATGAGCTGGAATAAAACACAATAAGCTTATATTTGTCATGGCATCAAAGCTTCAGTGACATCGCTTTATAAGCTTATTGTTGTAGAAATTAGTTATAAATTTAAAAGAATTAGTTCACATAACCACAAGGAGAATAAACTGCAGATGTTTTTAGATTTGTTTTAATATTTCTAATTACTTTCTTATACTAAAAAAGGGCTTTTAACTTCAGTACAACTGACATCTGTCAACTAAACTGTTACAGGCAAAAGTTATATTGGAACTTGCCTGCTTATTGATGTCTGTCATGCTAACTAAATGATGATCTGTTGGTTCTTTACCTGTTACACCAGGCTGAAAATAAAACAATCATTTTATATTGACAAAGTTGCTTGAATCACTTTTCCCATATCATAAAGTCATTTTGTTCTACAAAAAAATAAGACAAATTCCCACCCCCCCCCCACCCTTTTTTTCAAGAAATGCTTACCATAGCACAAATATCACAGACATGTTCTGAGGGTGCCACATCTTCATCAAGAATTTGAAAACATACACCATGTTGCCAGAATTTACATACAGCACACAGAATCATCAAACCATCATCCTGGAAGTAAGTTTTACTCAATTAAGATCTAATATATAATTTTTAAATGGATAGTCCTCTAAACTACGTAGATACTTACTTTCCCAAATCTAGACATGAAACTGTAATAGACTTTTACATGAACTTCTCTAGTAGGGAAGACCATAATATCTAATTTTGCTTAAAACTGAGTCGATTTTCGAATCAGATTAACTCTTAATCCTTTCTTTACCACTGAATCACTATTTCATATAGCCTTAATGTCTCCAAAGACACTTCATTTTCTTAATCAAATGTCGCATATCAAATGGGTAAATATCTACTGTAATACTTCAAAGTTAAAGAAATTATTACCTCATTAAAACCACAGGGACATCTTACACAGATTTCTTCATTTTCTCCTACTTGTGATAATTCTTGAGATTTGCTTTGTTGTCCTGGCAATGAAAAAAATATTATATACATAATAATATTTGGTATTGGTGAATGTATCCTATAGACAAAGAGTAGCATCAAGACCTTGACTCTTCATTTGACCGTACCTGGTTTAGCTGGACTCTCATCAGGAATAACAACGCTAGTTTCATGTGTAGAATCACCATGTTGTTTAATTTCAAATCTGCTGTTAATTTCTGTATTTACTTCCCTCTAAAATTAAATTAATTTAACATCTTTAGCATTTGCAGGTTCATAAAGAGTCTAAACCCAATAGTTTCATAAAAAGTAAGAAATAGTGTTTGGAGTCACTAAAATAGAAATCTCGGTTTATCATGATTAATTCAAAGTTTCAATGTGTCAGCCAATCTGGTTTAACATGAGGTCAGTTATTTTTCTAATAATGTATAGTAAACTACAGAGCACATGCATCAATGCCTAACTTTTGAGATGTTCCGAGTGGTAAATACTCTTCCCATTGAAATGAAATGAACTGAACTCTTCTGCACCTAACACGGCTAATGAAGATGGAAATTTGGAAATTTACTACTTTGTAAAGTTAACAAATATAGTAAGGACGAGAATAAAGAATAGAGATTCAATAGAGCTTAATTTATGACAAGGCTATGGATCAAAAATCCATCAGTCATTAGGACAGTTAATGTGTACAAATACCAGAAATTGCAAGAAATATAATACAAACTTGTGGTACATCTTGATCCATAGCATCATTATCTAAACCAGTGTCTTTTATTTCTGTCTTAATTTCTTCAGCACCTTCTTCTTCCTCCACTTCCCTTGTTTCAAATTGTTTTCTATCAGTTTTGATTCTCATTTTAACACTGGAAGATGACAATGATGATTAAATAAATAGCAGTCAGGATGAATTTGTAAAAAAATGGTCCCATTTTCACAAAAAATCAAACAATCAATTTCTTGTGTCATTCATTTGAATTATTCTATAAGACAAATTCATATGGTATAATGTTTATTAGGAGGTTTCTTTCGTCTCACTTTCCATGATCTGACATAATTCTTCTTTTGATTATATTCAGTCTAGTTCAATATTATTAATATCATGCAGGATCAATATTCAGAAAGCACTCAAATTACAACTTGATCTTCAGTTTAAGATTATGGGTAAAAATACCCAATTTTCAGCTTTTCATAGGATATGTGATCAAAAAGATTTGTAAAGAGAAAGGCAAAATTCAAAATACATAACATAATGAAAACAAAAATAAACACAATTACATTCATTTAACAATTTCAACAGTATTTAATTCATTACCAGAAATTTTTCTTACCTGTGGAATGGCTGAAATATTTTCACGTCAAATACATATATGAAAATTAATTGGGTTTAGCCGAAAGAGAGACAGAGATCAATATACGTTTTTTTTGTTAGAAAATCTTGATTAATGTTTAATCATAATGTAGTTTCTCATAACTCTCACCTGCTTTATTGATCCAAGTTTGTTAATCAGGCGATTTTGGACTCATATCATTGCAAAAATCTACAGCTGTCAGAGAAGCCATTTTTATTTACAAGATTGTTAGCTGCCTAGCCTTTGACAAATAATATGAGAGGAACTCACAGAAGTGACAAAAAGCTTAGTACCTAAATAGTAAAAAGTAACTTACTGTTGATACATCTCCTACTTTTATATTCATGGGTTCCTCTTCAAATATAAATGTATCTGTATCAGCTGCCTTAAATCCTGGTGGTTCATAATCTGGTGGTGTAACTACAAAAAAAGTATTCAATTTTAATGTACCTCCTTGCACTCTGTCAAAAACTTATTATCCTTATCACAAAAATTTTAAGTTTAAGACTAAAAGATTCAGACATACTTGTTCAAATAAAAAGATATAGGTTAAATACATCCACTATGGCTTGAAATTCAGGTGAAAAATGTGTTTATTATCCAAAACTAGATCACCTTTCATTAACTCCCTGAAACAATCGCTTTGCATTTCTGAATTATTTGTTTATCTTGTAAATCTCTCCAGAAGAAGGTAATTTTCTATCAAATTGATGTATTCCAATGCTGAAATTCACAGTCCCTACTTGTGACCTAGGCCAGTGCTTCTATAAGAGAGTTTCTCTTATAAAACCTTATACCCCAATTCAAAATTAGTTGCCCAAAATCTGACACAACATATTTCGTAAAATTATATTTATTATGTTAAAATTTCAGATATAAAAATAAGGAAAAATAATAATACCATCATCAAAATATAGAAGTTTCATAGACATCATAACATCATCTGGTAAAGATTTCAGTGTTTGTGTGAGAACTACAATAGTTCGCAGTAATCGAATGGTAGCTTTCTTAGTTTCTGCTATAGTGTGAGCTCCAGATATCTTCTGATCATTCCTATAAATATCTATACCAACATCATCAGCATAGGAAAACTTGAATGTATATGATTCTATCACAGTCTGAAATATATGTCAAATCAATTTTATATTAAAATGGAGTCAAATTCTAATAAAATTCTCAAAATCAGATGGATGACAATGTTCTTAAGGCACCACCAGACAAAGACAGTATTAACAATTCTTTATAAGACGCTCGTTTTTGAATTTTTATGCAAAATATCCAAAAGTTTGAGGAAGATAAGCAGTATTAAGCGAGTGTACAAGTCAGACTTTAAGTGCATTAATTACTGAAAAACTTGTGTGAAAAAAATGCTTATATTTGAATCGCAAACAAATATACACTAAATATCTTTCTTGACTATACCGTTTAAATAATTAATAAATAACTGAACACTTACATCAGGATCTTCAGGATCCACATATATCTGTAAAAATAACCAGCAATCCAATAATATTTCTTAAATTCATTACCGGTATTTCAAAAATATCTCTTAAAATACTAAGACTTGTAAGACTTTTCATAAAAGAAACCTTGAAATCTATAACAGTTTCAGATCAGAAGGCAATATGACAATCAATTTTATGAATTAAATACATGCAAAGCTTACCCCAATAATCAGCATTCGCAGCTGCAAAAGAAATGATAACCTCTGTACTTGAAGATAATTTATTCAATTCAACTATAAACTTCAACCTTTTTGACAAACAATGTTTCATAACTAAAACTATGAATGAATCTATGAATTTATCACAAATTTAGAAATCTTCAGAAAAAATGATAGAAATGAAGAATTTACATTAATACAGCATCACTTACATATTTCTTATCAAGTGCATCAAAACAGCCTTTAACCCATTGGATAACTTTACAGGCTCCAGGACAAGAACTGTTATCTACTAATAACTTCAGATTTAAATCTTTAAAAAAAAATAGAAATATATACCAGTAATGTAAAACTAAAAACAAAGGAAGAACTTTCCTTCAGGACACTCAGGAATATCAATATATAAGCTTATATAGACACAGCTTTATGGAACAACAATCACTGGTTGTTCCATAAAGCTGTGTCTATATATCGTACTCACAATTGCTAAATGCCATTCAAAGACATTTATATATCTTATCTCAAAATCAATTTTTACCAAAAAAATAATGTACAAAGAAATAACAAAATCTTTACCTTCCAAACAACTATCTCCAAATGCATGTTCAGGAAATATTGCTCTCAAATAGGCCACATTGGAAATAGACACAGCTAGTAGCTTCTTCACAAATAAAGCTGACTGCGTCTGACTAATTTGTTCATTTCGAAAGATTGATGACCACTAGAATAAAATGATTCAAATCAGTTCATAAAACCACCGTACCAATCAAAGTCAGCTTCATTGCGTTTGAATGATCTAAAGTTTTCATCCCTTTTTTTGGTGAAAAAGTTTTTAACTTGTGATTATGATCAGGTTTCATAATGACATATCAACATGCCTGCAAATTACACTATGCCTACATTAAATCAAAAGGTACAACATTGTGGCATTTTAATCCTTGCTTATGAATATTATGAAAATATCAATGAACTTTATTTAAGCTTATAATTATGTCACACTAATTTTTCTTGATTTTCACACTGGTATCAGATCAGAAACGTAGCATTATAGTTCATTTAATTACAAGTACAGAGGCTTTACAAAGAGCGATATATTTTTAAAGCTTATTTTTCAAAGTAAACCCTGCCCTTCAAATAAATTTAAAATGTAGGAAACTTACTGATCCAGTCTTCTCTTTGGTCTGTGTTGCTGTTGCCATGTCCTGGCTATGCTTCTCTCTTGCTTACTGAACTGTTTTTTTTTTCTGTAAAATATTGAGATCAATCTGCATTGTTAGTGCCACTACTAGTACATTTATATTACAGGATAGCTGTTGAATGAAAGACAAGCTAACTAGGCCTAACTCACTGGGAACCTTTTATGAATTTAAGCTTGCATTATTCCGCGATCGACGACCAGCCTAACTTTTCCTACGGATATATTGATAACTTGAATAGATCTATTCAGTTTTAACTTTTCTTACCAAGACAACAACTCTCAACTTCGTAACTTACAACATTTAAACAACAAAATAATGTCAAGCAGACGACAAGATTTTGGTCTGGAAGTGAGATGAGAGTTGCCCCCCTTACTTAAGTTCGAAGTACTTCGCTTTTAAAGTAAAATGTTAATCATGATTTTTTTCGATAACTTGTAATGATATTAATGATAGCTGGTCTGGGTAAATAGAATATATCACCATTCAATAAAAAGAATCTTTGAAAAACTGGTTTACATTAAACGAAAAATCAAAACTTTGACAACATTGAAAGTTGACAGTTCGCAGCGCCATCTAAAGAAAATTTCGGGGTCATTTTCTTGTTAGTATTTACAATCAAAAATAAATAAACAGAGGTATCTATGATTATCATTTATTGCGATTGCCTTGTTGTATAGAATGGAAATAAGCTTTGGAAATTGACCGTTAGATATTTCTAATTGATACTCTGAAGAGAATACAGATCGAAGTTTTAATTTTATTGTCTCCCGGAAGTAATTTATAGACATGCGCAAATGTTTGTTGCTATACAAAACAAAAACATAAACCCAAAAATCTCTTATATTTTGACCATTTAATGCATGTTTTTATGCCTCAGAATATTTTTGGTACACAATAAGGTAAGAATAGATACTCTGAACGTTTTTTTGGTCCGGCTTTTTACTGGTTCCTTGATTATGATACACACAAACGAAAGTGATTTTTATTTTTTTTTAGAAATTAGAAAGATCTAGAGTTAAGCTTATATCATATCTAGTATGTTGACTAGAGAAAAATAACATAAAAATCATCAATCTCCTTTTTGTTAGTAAGCTTAATTTATATAATATGTTCTTTCTTTTCACAGACTTGATCTAGTTATAGCAGTTTAGTCTACTTTAACTTAATACAGTTATCAGAACTATTTCATTTGAAAAATGCCTACCAATCCTGATGAACCTTACTATTGTTCACAACAAATAGCCATTCCAACTGACTTGCCTGATATCTTAAAACAGTTTACTAAAGCTGCTATCAGAACACAACCAAAAGATGTCTTGGCTTGGTCTGCAGCGTAAGTTTTGCTATCTTTTGATTTATGCCTATGATGCCATCATGCCATGAAATTTGATGTGGTTAATTTAATTTAATTGAGATTCTTGTCATTATAATAAGAGAAACATTGAATTGAAGTTGAGGTCTAACTCAACCAATCTTTTATTATATTGTTCATTTTTTTTAAGCAGCCGAATACAAATCAATCTATTTATAAGACTGCTATTATATTTCGTAACCTCTAATTCTAGATACTTCCGAGCTATGTCAAATGGAGAAACACCACCTGTTAAAGAAAGATTAGAAATGCCTGTTGCTACACAGAAAACTGACTCTGGCTTAACACCAGGAATACTCAAAGTTTTAAACAGACAGGTAAAAATAATAAGCTTATTTCATACACCCCTATTAAATTCTCAAGTATTAATCAAATCATTTTGTTGATATGATAGAGTTTGGTATGATAAAGTAGATTAATTTTTTAGACATTTAGCCTAGATTAACATACATCAAAGGCCAATTGTCAGGGAATACTGACTGAATCAAGAATACTTTCCTATTACTCTATATAAGCCTATTGTTCTGTTTTTTAAACAAAACACTGGTTTCAAATTGGTCATATATTTATTATAGCTTGGTCCAAAGAAGACTATCCCTCTGAGTACAGTAGAAGAAAAATGGTTAGATTTAGCATTACCTAAAGAACAGTTTGATGATATAGTTCGTATTGGTTCATTTGGTGGAGAAATTGAATGGAACAAATTCTTAGCTATTGCTACTTCAGCATTAGCAGAGGTAAACCTTTTTTCACTTTCTTCAGCTTTGACAGGCTAATAATATGCTATAATAAAATGTCCTAATTAGTATAAACAATTTTGTCTAAGCACATTTGGACTAACCTTAAAACATTACAAGGTTTTAAGTATAACGCTTATAAAGATATGTAAATTTATGTGAAAAAGATTTTCTAAATAGCCTATAGAATGGCATTCAAAGTGAAAATACATATTTATTATATACAAATATATATATACATATTACATACAAATTTGCATATACTTATCATATGACATAGTCTTATAGTTTAAAGTATGTAAACCTTCCTATGTCTTTTGCTTACAGGGTATGGCACAGTCCATGAAAGGTTTATGTGACATATTAACATCAGATCCGGATGGTGGACCCTCTAGAATTCCATTCCCCTTATTTAAAGAATTGTATACCTATCTAGCTCAAATTGATGGTGAAATATCTCAACAACAAATCAATGATGTTATTGATCATTTACAATATCATGTGTAAGTAATTATTTCATTATCATTTACAATATCATGTGTAAGTGATTACTTTATTGATCATTTACAATATCATGTGTAAGTAATTATTTCATTGATCATTTACATTATCATGTGTAAGTAATTATTTCATTATCATTTACAATATCATGTGTAAGTAATGTTTTCATTATCATTTACAATATCATGTGTAAGTAATTATTTCATTGATCATTTACAATTTCATGTGCATTTACAATATCGTGTGTAAGTAATTATTTCATTATCATTTACAATATCGTGTGTAAGTAATTATTTTAGTGTTCATTTACAATATAATTATTTCATTGATCATTTACAATTTCATGTGTAAGGAGGAGCAAAGATTTTTTTTGTAAATAATATGTACCTCAAATTTCCATTTTTGTTTTTTCAGAAATAAGCAAGAAGGATATGTACAGCCTAGAAACTTCCTCAGTTCAGAATGTCCTAAACTCTCATAAAGCATGTTACATAATGTATTCACCTATTGTATATTCAGTTTATTCTTGGTTATTTGAATGCTAAAATGATTCCATCCAGTCTGTTATTATTTTAAAAAATCTCTTTATCTATTTTGTCAAATTTTGTTATCACCAATCATTTATTGACATTTGTAATTGCAACAATTATTATTGCTGTATCTTAAACAAAAAAAAATATTATTCACAGAAAAGTATGTTCTTCATTAAATTATCGACTTGGGATTTGAGAAGGAATATATTACTGGCAATATATATCAGTGAATCGATGCATGGCGATATTTCATGCCACAATATGTGTATCGTATGGTGTAGTTGTGTATCAATGCTTAATGATACTATGCATACTAGAAAAACACATAATTATAATACACACACATAACTTGACAATATCCAAATACAGTAGAAATATAAAAGTTGAAGTTTCATTCATGGAAATAAACATGACAACAGTAAGATGTCGACAAATTATCGACAATAACTTGTAGTAATATACAGCTGTAAAAAAAATCATTAAATCTTTGAACATAGTTGAATTTTGTTTTGTTCATATAACGATACTGTTGTGTATATATCTGGCACAATGAGTAAAGATTCTAGCTTGCTAAACTAGGATTCTTGAGTTTGAACCTTAGTTAGAATCTTTGGAATTTTTCTACATAGTTTCCCCTGGTCAATGATTCAGATATGATGGACTGACATGGAATAACCCATCTATTGATGTGACAAGACAATAAACCAAGGCCATGGTCAGTTGAAAAAAACAAAATGGTTAAGACTGCTGACTTGTCATTACAAAGAACAAAATGAAATTAATGGAGTTTTACATCTAACATTTTTATGTAGAAAGAAGAACTGAACAAAATTATATATTGAATAACAATTACTTCAACCACCCTAATCTTCAATAAATAATTACAATAATTGACGTTTCCGTGATTATTCCCTCATTTTTATCAAGAAACGACTTGTCAAACCTCTCTTGTTGTACATTGCAGAGCAGCGTTGGCTCAGTGAGTTAGATGTTTTCTCGCTAACCTCAAGGTCCAGGTTTTGGCATAGGTAGAGATAATACCTTCAAATTTTTTAACCAGGTTTCCCACTTGTCAGTGATGCAGGAAAGGGATGGATGGGACAATAAACCGAGGCACTGGATGCTACAGGCAGTGCACATTGAAGATCCCTTGACAGTTGGAAATCGAAAAAGAGCAGGATAATGCTAATTGCAATGTACCCTATATGGCGTTGTCCTTCTTCATTAGCCCACACGGTGCAGAAAAGTAGGACATTTCATTCCATTTTTGTAGTTTGTTGCATGACATTTCACTTTATGGAAAATCAATTTAGATCATTTTGTCTAATCTAAAACTATCATTAAAATGAAATGATCGAATAGAGTTATATTTTAAGTCCCGCTTTTCTGCTCCAAATGGCTAAGACAAGACACCATGCAGTGTGCAATGAGGGAAATTTTTCCAGCTGTCGGGGCCTCAACTTATTGTCTCATCCGATTCAACAGACTAGGCGCTTAGTCCCTCCACTTGCATCACTGAAGCCTGAAAAAATTACAATCAAATTTTGGTCAATTAACAATGGTCAAAGGGAAACTACTCAGAATAGTGCAGATTGAGTGTGCCTTAGAGAGGAAGACATTCAATAAATTCACCACACTTTGAAAAAACATCGAATTCCACAAAAAACACACCATTGAAACACCGACGATCATTTGACGCATTCAACCTTTTCGGTGATGGACATGTGATTGGTCCTGAGTTCACAGCCTCTGGCCTAGTCTAAAATCAGAGCAAGACAATCCCTTTAAATCTCCAAGAAGAATGTTTGAAATTATAATCAATAGTGTCTAAACTTTAACAGGTTTACGACATTGAAATTATTATTTGGAGTCTGTAGACTCAATTCCTGATGGTTCCATGTAGATTACAATTATTGGTATTTCGTGACATTTCTTGATCAATTTTCTAAGTGTTCTTGTGTCAACAATGGTGAAATTATTATTTTCAATTCCATGTCTGTCGATAACAAAATTTTTTAAACGTGTCAATTGATTTGATGTTACTGTCCGATATTGTTCCTTTCCTCTAGTAGGCTATTAGTCTGTGAAGAAGCGAAAAACATTTACAATTTTCTGCACCAGTAGGCTATTCTTTGGCAGTGGTGTTAAAGGGGAAGTCTGACTTACAGGTAAACTAAAATTTGGAGAAATGTGTTCCTTACATTACCTGAAAGTTTTTCTAATAATATCTAGCAGTTAATTTCAAGGTCGTTAAAACTATTAAAGATCGAATGCGATCTTGTCATTTCAAGAGTCATAATGTGAAAAAGAATATAAAATTTTATATTATAAACCTGGGTTTCAGAGCCAATCATCGGATCCGTCAAGGCCTATTTGTAACGGTAAATATTGCCATTTTCGTGACCACGCAAGATGATGTGCATCTTGGTCTACATTTGTCAAACTAATTTTACCTTTCTCCTTATCCTTCTGACATAGCTCATTGCTATTAGCTTTTCCGAGATCTTTTGCTTATAGCCTTCTATTCCGCTTTCTAAGTCGACATATTCCCCTTCTCTTAGCTTACCCTTTAACCTCGTCTTTTGTCTTATTTCCTTCTCACTGGGATTACGACTGAACTCGAGTTTTAGTACTCTCCTTCTTCCATTCCATCTTTCCCAAATTTTATTCTTATTTTTCCGGATTGTTTTAATTAAGGCTACCGTCTGAAAGGGTAAAATTACATCTAAACCCAACGTGTCCAAAACATACCCTCTGTTCGTCATACTTCCAAATACGACAATGTCAAAACCGTATTCGGGGCACGATGATCTAAAACCCGCTCTTCTGCATTTCATCTCTATACATAGTATACCCACAATCACCCTAATTCAGCCTTTCTTCTTCTAGCTAGATCAGTAATTTTCTCCTGTATTCGTCTTTTTTCTTCATACACCCTCGCGTTTTCTTATTTGCTTTTGTTGAAATGACAGTTCAGCAAAGCTGCTCAAAAGAACATCACAGTTCAGTAGAGGCTGTTCAAAAGCAGTCCATATTAATGACAATTCATCATTTTTTCAGATAAATGTCATTTTCTCAGTTTCTGTTCACGTAAATGACAGTTCAGAAGCTCCTGTTCGGGTCAATGGTAGTTCAGAAGACGCTGTTCGGGTCGATGGTAGTTCAGAAGAAGCCTTTCAGTTAAATGACATTTCAGAAGATGTTGTTCTGGTCAATGGTAGTTCAGAAGACGCTGTTTAAGTCAATGATAGTTCTGAAGACGCTGTTCGGGTCAATGGTAGTTCAGAAGACGCTGTTCAGGTTAATGATAGTTCAGAATAAGCTCCTCAAGTCAATGGTAGTTCAGAATAAGCTCTTCAAGTCAATGGTAGTTCAGAAGACGCTGTTCAAGTCAATGGTAGTTCAGAAGAAGCCTTTCAGTTAAATGACAGTTCAGAAGATGTTGTTCTGGTTAATGGTAGTTCAGAAGACGCTGTTCAAGTCAATGACAGTTCAGAACAAACTGGAGGTAGTTCAAAGATCAGTAGAGGTTGCTGATTGAAATCAGTTTATTGTACTCTTCCAAGAATGATAAAAAAAAACTAGCGTGTGGCGACTTCTGGTAGAAAATAACCCATGCAATCTCTAGACTTGTCTCATTTTAGGTAGTGTCCACTAAATTTTCTCTGTCATCTCGAGTTCAACACCAAAAAAGCAAGTTGGTACACCAAGGCCAGTGTTTTTAAAATAACTTCACAAATACACTATGTATTCTGGACAAATAATGCTTGATTCAATTTCGGATTGAAAATATTTCATAAAATATTTCTTTTCTCTCGTGAATCTGCCATAAATCATTAACCCTTTGTTATTCAAATTGTATTTTCCCATTCAAATCACACTCACAGTGGTTGTTCAATAAACTGAACTAATTGAAACCAAATCTCAGCTAAATTTCAATTTAATTAGAACTCTTCTCTTTATGCCATGGATACACGTTGAAACAAACAACTTGCTTGATCTCTGGTGAGCTAATTCAGGACCAGCAATAAGCATAATGATTTTTATTCATAGAAGCTCTTTGTGAGCGTCGCAGCAAGATCCGAACATAGCAAACACATTATCAGTTATACGTTTGTCGTGCTTCAAATTGGTATTTTGGTATTACGTCTTCGATAGTGTGTTCCTAGCATCATTATTCTAAATCTCCCAAGAGTTACGTAGGCTATAATCCTATGACGCCATACTCAATTGTCTTCATTGAAGGTCTTTTAGATTCAGTGTTGACCAAATCACCCGTTACTATCGACTAGTCTTCATATAATCATTGATTTTGAAAGTCTTGAAGCTTTGGAAAACAACTTACACATTTACAGGCAACTGTCGTTACTAAGTGCCAGGAGCTAATAATAACTGTTTCCGATAATATCAAGTACTGATAACAAATTGTCGCCTGATTAATTTTACTGTGTTCTTGTAATACTATTATTGCATATGGAGTTGAGATCAGCAAGGTTTGAATCGTTGCATTGACAACGTGAAATGTACAGAAAGTGTATTCTCCATAGTTTTGAGCCAGTAAATAAACTAAATTCAATATTAAGTAAAACTTAATTTTATATACATGTATTATATTCGCCTAACCCATTGAGCATATTCTCCAGAATATGGATTTTCATTTCATATATTCAAATTATATGATATTATTCAAACTAACTGCACAAACAATACTCTCTCACTAGAGGTTAAGCCTACATGCCTGTGGCTGTGATTTCGTAACATGTTACAACCAAAAATTGCTTTTGAGCACTGAAAGCTAAATTATTGGGGGCGTCTTGGTTCTTTGAAGACAGCTTCTGTTTAATAACTTCTGAAGGCCGACATATTATTGTGCATGTGGTCTGAATTAGTTAAGGTGTATGATCCTAAACAATACAAAAGGATTATCTAATAGAATAGAAAATTCCGTTTATTACTGTCCCAATTTCAAGTCTTTTACTTTTGATGGCACATTATTGGAAATCGATGAGAAACTTGGAAACATGGGAAAGACGACTTGCCAGGGATAAAGTGGCAGTTTGGTCAAACATTTACGAAGTTGAAAACTACCCTCGGGGAAACGATATCTACGTCTCATTGACTTGGAATGGGAGAAGACGGAATTGATCGAAACTCTTGTCTTCCAAGACTTAAATGTTCTCAGTGTTTCTAAATCTCGATTGGCATGTTATCAGTCTTATACAGTTACCAAACCTTGTAATAGGTCTAATATAACCGCGGCTACAAATTGTAAAGAAAAGAAAGTGGCAGACGTAACCAAATCGTCTCTAATGAATCCACATCCATTTTTAACATAGTTGATAATCGAGGCTAATGTTATTCTTATTAAAGACAAGGCTATCAGGGTGCGAAGGAATTGCAAGTTTCATGCAACGCCTCCAGTGTGATCAGCTGAGTAGTTAAACTTCTATAGGACTATAATGTAATAAGGATATTCGCTATGGCATAACGTTATGTAAGTAAATTTTATATTTAATAATATCTAAGGTATTTTGTTCGAATGAAATCGATTTTGGTTAGGATTTTTTTCATTATTGAAGAGATTTGTGATTTATTCAATTACAGAATGTGAGTGAATGCGATATTTTTATTCTTATTTAAAAAGAGGCTGCCAAAGTACGATTGTCCAGAATTTCAATCCAATAGAAAGTAGAGAGTACGTTATATACCATCAAAACACTAAATGAAAATATCAATATCCCACACTTTAACACCAAACAATATCTACTCAACAATCATATATAAATATGTAAGCATAAAATATACCAAATATCTCATTTGTACTAGACTTACTTCATAATTATAAATATACTCAGTGTAGTATTTGTAAGATCATATTGTACAAAGTCTACCCTGAACAACGTTTGTAACCATAAATATCTAATTTGGACTACATACTCTAATGATACACAATGTCTTATACACTAATGATACACAGTGTCTAATTTGAAGAACATTTATAACCTTAACGATACACAATGTCTAATTTGAGCTATATATTTAATGTTAATGTTACACAAAGTCTTATTTGAACTACATTTATGACCATTATGATACACAATGTCTAATCTAAACTATATATTTAATCTTAATGATACACAATGTCGAACTTGAACTACATTTATAACCTTAACGATACACAATGTCTAATTTGAACAACATTTATAACCTTAATGATACAAAATGTCTAATTTGAACTATATATTTAATGTTAATGATACACAATTTCTTATTTGAACTACATTTATGACCCTTATGATACACAATGTCTAATCTAAACTATATATTTAATCTTAATGATACACAATGTCTAATTTGAACAACATTTATAACCTTAATGATACACAATGTCTAATTTGAACAACATTTATAACCTTAATGATACAAAATGTCTTATATGAACTACATTTATGACCTTAATGATACACAATGTATAATCTGAACTACATATTTAATCTTAACGATACACAATGTCTTATTTGAACTACATTTATAGATACAAAATGTCTAATTTGAACTATATATATATTTAATCTTAATGAATTTGAACGTCTTGTAAATATTTTCGCTGAATTTACATTGAACTCTTGATATTATCCTCAACAGTGTTCAATTTGAAGATATTTTCAAGATAACGGGATCTCCGGAAAACATGTTTGAAAATTTATGTAGAGATAGTTAATTGTTTTCTAGTTGGTTCTAAAAATTTATTTTTAAGGAATCTGTTCAGTATGTATGTAGGTCTGTTTTGGCAGGTGGGTAAGGTCAATAGATCTGATACACCTTAGTATTGATTATACTATACCTACATTTAACATGAATACTCATCAAAACTTTTCGTTATCTTCGTATACCCAAAGTAACTTTCACCCAGTGTAAAGGGGCTGATGTTGGAGCATTTTACAAATTGGCTAATTCATTTTTTTGCATAGTATATACAAGGAACCATTAGTTTACTTTAAATTACCTTAAAATTCATTTCCAATATTAAAGTTAATATCTAAAGTGTGAAACTCTTTAAATCTTTCGAGTACCAAATCGTATTTGGAAATCATTCGACATCCTCCAACGCTTCTCCCTCACGAATCAGAAATAGGCATACATTGTACCCAGTTGTAAAGAGTCTGTCTATCATCGAATCAAAGAAAATACATTTGTTCATCAAGCTGTCTAGTAGAAAATCGACCTTCAGAAACATGTATTCCAATACGTGATTCAATTTCCACAAAATCCTATGAAATTCACCATCGATTAGCAATACTTAAATACCAAATCAATAAACAAAACTATTTTTCTCTATGCAGTTTTAATAGTATTTGTTCAATCTCTTTAAGATATTTTTCTTTTGTCAACCAATCGACTGTTCGCCCACGACGTATACGCCCACATGTTATAACCCCACTCCTTAAAGGGAATGTAAAAAGTTACTCGTATCGGGCATACAGGCAGCATCAATTTGCTTCAAAAAACCGCTTTAAGGTTACATTGACTTATCAGCGCAATACAATACTGTGCATTGAAATTAATATCACAATACAATGTTCATACTTTTATTTGCCACAACGAAACATCTCCAATAAGCAATCACGATTCAATGAATGCTATACTGTTTATTTGACAATCTCTTAAAATCTAATTAGCTTCCCGGTATAATTTGACATTTAGATAAACGCTATCCAGTTTAAAAACAAGGTTTCTAATAATACATATCGACAATTTTACCATTTTCATCTTCAATAAAGAGCTTATAAATGTTTAATGACGCCCCGGTTAACAAGATTGTGATGTGGGTGGGGTTATAATACTGTTCCTAATCCGTTCTAAAAGTGGTGTTCAATAAAGCCATTCGTTGTATTCAATAAAGGCATTCGTTCTGTTCAAGAAAGGCATTCGTTGAGTTCAATAAAGGCGTCCGTGGTGATCAAAAAGGATGTTCGTAGCATGTTGCAATGTGTCAATCGGGTTATGAGTGTACGGGTAAGGGTCTGAAACAATAAGGCTCATTCTGACCACAGAAAACTGTCATATAGATAGTTGGACAGAACAAATTCCGTATGTAATTAGACTTGCCACTTTAGGTTTGTCCATCAAAGATCAAGCTGGCTACTAAATTATCTAACCATGACTATCAGAACATTGTTTCATTTCAACCCTTGTTGTTGGAAACAGAATTTGACAGAAATAGGCCACTCAACTTGTATCTATAACTGTTTCGTTCTTTGATTGACTCTAAAAATCTTATCTGTCTAGAGATAGGAAATCCAATAAGCCCCTCTAATTGTAAAACCAATTTTGCGGAAAAACACTTAAAAATAAACCGTCTCTCTTTATGTGTTTATATATCAATTGATTTTTCTATTTTTTATTAGAAGACTTAATTAGTAGCATGGATTTTCAAGCGCCTTCGTTACGAGGGATTTTAGAAATATTTGTGTTGAATAGGTGTGATATTATATACCGCATTAAGTCACAAATATAAGGATAAACACATAAATTTT